TTTAATATTTTGTAATCTCTCTCTCTCTCTCTCTCTATATATATATATATATATATATATATATATATATATATATATATTTTGTTGGATAGATGTGAGTTTGTGACCCTGGGTTTCACGCTTTAGCGATCGTCAGATTGTCTGACGATCGCTAAAAGCGTGAAACCCAGGGTCCTAAACTCACATCTATCCAACCAAATATGTTAGCTATATCTTTGATATTGAGCGCTTTCTAATAAGTACCGCGCATATAATATATAAATAATTATACATATATATATTTATTTATATTTATATACAAACACTTTTCATATATATATATATATATATATATATATATTGTGCATTTCGGCAGCAATCTCTCTTTTACAGCCGTTTTATTAAAGACGACTGACAAGTTACTGCGATTGAGCTTTTTATTTAATTTTTCTTGTGTTCGTACAAGTGTTTTCTTTTCTGGATACAAAGTGTATAAAAACTGCTCAAAAGTTCTGCATTTACGGGCGCTTTCGACTATTCTTTTAGCCATTATCAAGGATGATTTTATTTTTACTATTAACTGAATGTATAGACTGTGTTATGTATGTATCTAGTGTTATAGGGATGTTTTATTTTCTAAACATGCTCATCACATTATGGCTGTGTTCATAATCAATGTTATTGAGTGTTGGCTTTTCCTTTTTTATTATTAGCTCTTCCATGATTTTAAATAATTTTTTTTTTGTGGATGAGGTTATTATGTTAGCATTTTCTACTAGTCTGTATCGGATGGAGTCTGGTAGGTTTTGCGCGTGTTTAAATGAGTTCTAATGGAGCTATGGTCGTCTATGTGTAACATAAGTAGTCTGGATAGGGGACATTCACGCAAGAAGATTGCGCTTAACCATGAAACGAACTGTTGCTGAGTGTTGTCCGCAATGTCCTTTTTTATATTCTATATTTACATAAGTGGTCTCTCTCTCTCTGCATATATATATATATATATATATATATATATATATATATATATATATATATATATATATACGACTCTCCCGTGCCACAGGGTCCCCAAACGATCCTCCGCAGGTTTTGAATTCAGAGTTGTCCTTATCCTAGACCAGTTGCCATCCAAGGCTATAGAACCCATAGCTTGAGGGAGAAGAAGAGGATTCACACCTTTCCGAAGGGTATTAGCACGTAAGTGAATATAATATATATATATATATATATATATATATATATATATATATATATATATATATATATATATATATATATATACGAAGTTTGATTCAAAAGTAAAAAAGTATCGGGGTTGGTTCTATAAAAAGAAAACTACAATAAATATCAATTCAGCATCTAATTTCCTTGGAAAAAGTCCCCTTGTAAAGCAACAAACATTATCCAGTATCGTTTCCGTTGATGGAAGCGTTCCTGGACTCGATGTCTGGGAAATATGTTGGTTGTAGGACAAAGGGAATAGTGTATTTGGTCAAAAACACCTGCACACGCCATGATCACTGATGGAACATCCGTGGTGTGGCGAGACGACCACACTCTACGCACTTTCCTTCCAAGCACTGAGAAAACATCTGAAAATGAGCCAGAACGTTATAACTTACTGTGCATGCACGATAGAGTTCAAGATCGATCTGTCCCAAGCGGTTTCACTCTATGTAGCTTGGCTCTGTTACCATACCAACAGTTCCGATACTTTTTGATCAGACCTCGTATATATATATATAGATAGATAGATAGATAGATAGATAGATAGATAGATCTCTCTCTAGATAGATAGATATATATATATATATATATATATATATCTTTCTCTCTCTCTCTCTCTCTCTCTCTATATATATATATATATATATATATATATATATATATAGAGAGAGAGAGAGAGAGAGAGAGAGAGAGATGTGTAAGATAAAAAAAAATATACATACATGCACGAAAGTTTTTTCTGTACGTACAGATATATTTCTTCCACGGGTGTTATAAATACAGTGTTCAATGTTATGAAACAGAACTATAAACATATGTTAGTGAATATACATAATTAACGTCGATAGCACGACTCTGGGTTTCATGCAGTTGCTGTAATCTTGCACCTGAAGATTGCAGCAACTGCAGGAACTCCGAGTCGTGATGTCGACGTTAGATATTATGCATATTCACTAATTGAGCACTGTTGAATGACAAGCTAATTCTATAAACGATAGCCACCTGCGCTAATGCAAAGCTCTTCAGTAAAATGAATAGAGCCCTATGGCTGATTGGCCGTTGTTTACAT